CTACTAGACCGTCCACGATACAAGGTACAAGACTTAACCTACACTGATGATGGCGAAACCTAACGACCTACTAACCTAACGTACTACTTGTTTATTAATAATAGCTATGGTTCGTCTCTCTCTCTCTCTCTCTCTCTCTCTCTCTCTCTCTCTCTATAAGCAACCAAAGGGGCCATGGCCCACTCAGCCTTCTCTCTCTTCTTCTCTCATCCAAATTAGGATTTAGGAAAGAGTTAACCCTAAGGGGTGGCCCGCCCAAGCCACACAAGCCCTAGCCCTAGGTCCTTGCCTCATGCTCATGTGTTGAGCCTTGGTCAAGGAAATCCCATGTGATGCTCTCTAAGAATTTTGCCTAGGCTTCCCTAATTGTGAGGAGCTTTCTTGAACCAAGATCCCGTGCGCCATTGGTGGAGGAGACCCAGTTTGGGATGTACGAAGTCCTTGGGGGTAACCTGAGGCAAAGTACGCGTTGTTTCATATTCCGTGCTTCTGTTGCTTCCATTTCTTTCTTATGTAATTTTCCGTTTTACATGATGAATGTAGTTTTTCTTTTAATGGCATGCAAGTGAGAGGTCTTGACTATTTCATTAAGTCAAATTGTATTTTTGGACACTTGTAAATGATCCCGGTGGCAATACGTATAAAAGAGTAAATAAAAATTTAATCAATATTGACTTGCCCAGTCACCTAGTCCATCTTTCAGATCCAGGGGTAGCCATGGTGGAGATGAATAATGACATAGGGACGATGTCAAAGTCCGATAGATCCCAAGCTAGACATTGAAATCCAGTTCTACAAAGAGATGGTAAAGCAGACTTGCAAGTCACTCTTCTACTAAAGCATCAGGCATTAGTGTTTTGTAGGCACAAGGATCAAGGGAGAAGTCAAGAACACTAAGTATAGAAGTTAAGGAAGACAGAAAGAACAGACGATTTTGAGAAAACAATAATACCTAAAAATCAACGAAACTGCACGTAATTTTAAATATGACTAAATCACACATCAATGGGTATGCCTCACAAAGTATTTCAATATCAGTCAAAGATGGGACGAACAAGCAATACTAAGTAATTTTTTTTTTGAAAGACAAGAAATGTTAAGTTATTAACAGTAAAAGAACCATGTTATTTGACTTGCAAAGAATAATATTAGGTAAGAAAAATTTCAAATGTAGTACAGAAGTATCAGAAATACCACAGAGATTGTATCAAGAGTCCTCTTTTGTAAACTTAGTGTTTTAAACATATCCTGCAAGTATGTCTGAATTTCACAGAGGTGCTGCTTGACTTGAAAATCCCCTTCAATCTGCAAAATTAGATATGTAAAATTTGTTAAAACAAAGAATAACCTTGAAGCAATCTAAGGAAAGAAGCAGAACATAAGCAAGTGCAAGGAAAAGGTTACTTAAGAAGAGTCTCAGAAATCAAACCATATTAATCTTTATGGCACAAAAAAATGAATTAAAGCTTACAGAAGAACGACCCTATAATTAAGCGCTGATATAGGTACAACAAAAAGACCAACCATTCTGAAAATCAGAGCAACTCTTGGACACCTATATAATCTAGACAGTGATTCAAAAAGAGGACCGCCCAGCGTCTAGGAGGTCTGAAAGGCATGAGCGCATCGCCCAGACTTAGGCGGCCAACATGGGCGGCCAATCCTTGGGCGGCCGCCTAGGCGGTACGGAACCCACCAAGGCGGCCGCCCAGGGCCAACGCCCCGCCCAAGAGCGGAAAAAAGTTTCATGAGGGCATTTTACGCCCTTTTTTTTTTTTAGGCCCAAACATTTGAAACATAAACCTTGTTTGAGCCAAATTTAGAGAAGGAAAACCATCAAAAAACTAGATTGTGGTGAACTTTTTAAGATCGAAGGGTTACTCAAATTTAACCAAAATTGATCAAAACATCACCCATTGGTATTATATTTACTTTTTGATGTTTTGCAAAGTTATTAGGGGGTGTCTTAGAAGATTTTGAGTATTTAGAAACATCTTTGAGGTGGAAGTTTGAAGATTGAGCAATCAAAATCAAAGTAGGTGATTTTTTTTATTGCTTTAGTAATTTGTATTATTTTTTAGATGTCTTATTCGAGATCTAATAGGAGTGGTGATCCCAATTGGAAATATGGCCCAGATCCTAATGATAAAAATTGCATACGATAAATTTTTTGTGAAAATGATACAAAAGGGCATAAACCGGTTCAAGAAACATCTTGCCGATATCAGGGGGTATGTTGCCCCATGTAAAAAGACTCCTGATACTGTTAAAGAGGAAATAAAGAATTTTATGAACTTGGTGAAAATGACAAAAGATGAGAGATTAGCCTCTATAGTAGAGATTAGGTCTGGGGTTCAAATTAATTTTGATAATGATGATAGTGATGAGGAAAGGATTGGGGAGGGATGTCAAGCGGTTGAGCAATCCATTATTAGGGGAAAGGGGAAGGGAGTTGTAATTACTTCTGGTTCTGGGACTAAGAAGCCTTGGGATAGAGGCCCTATGGATAGTTTCTTACCTGACCTGACCCTGAGATTGCAAGAGAAAAAAAAAAAGGAAACCACTATTGAAAATAGAATCAAGAAGGAAGAGAGATAGAGCTGCGTATTAATTGGGTATATGGTTTTATGAGGCGGGCATTCCTTTCAATACAGCTCGCTTGAGCAACTTTTATGCTGCAGTAGAGGCAATTGGCCAATTTGGGCCTGGGATGAAACCCCCAACCCCATATGAGCTTTCAGAGCCTTTTTTAAAAAAGGCAATGAGTGCCACGAAGGAAGTTGTAGAACTTAAGAAAGATGCATAGGCTCAATATGGGTTTTATCTTATGACTGATGCTTGGAGTGATAGGAAGAGAAGAAGTCAAATGAATTTGCTTGTGAATTATCCAATAAGGACTAGTTTTTTTAACTCTATTGATGCCTCTGATCATATCTATGATACCCATTACATATTTCAAG